TATATAGCATCAACATTCACTATTTCATATGTATGATCACTTGAATGACATTCATTATTTTGTTCGTCATCTTTACATGAATGTCGTAGGTGGCTGGAAGTAGTCATATACAGTTTTGCATCTCGTCTTTATTCAGGAAATTGTACCTTCAGCTTTATAAGAGTTGATCCTCTCTATGGGATACGACTTTGAGTAACACAGTTTTAGAGTCTCAGATGTCACCATGTGATATTGAATCACTTAGACTATTGGTTATATCTCACATTGATTGAAAGATTTCTTTTATTATTAGAGAATTAAAGAGATATGAAATTGATCATCACTATTTCGTAATTAATTGATTGTAGCGAGAGAATCGGTGTAGATGTTCATTTGAGTTTTTTTTAATTTTATTCCTACACGTTGCAAAAGATTCTCTAATAATGAAAAATTATATTTCTATATCTGCATAAAATTGGTCGACATAATATATGCAAATTTGTAGATTATTTTTATGAAACCACGTGACTAGGTAATCATCAAAATAGTTCATTTGAACAAATATTAAATCAGTAAGATTTGTAGTAGTAATAGAAGAAGTAGTAGTGTGGTGCGTGCTCCTTATATTGATATAAGTAGTATATGACGTGAGTCAGAAATGTAATGTCTGGCAGCAGAAAATGGGGGGAAGATCAAGAAAGCAAGAGCGGGAATAGAATGCAATTGTATGAAAATGCAAGGGCAATGAAGTCTGAGGCATTTTGAAACAGTTGATGAACATCTTACAAATTAACGATTTGATATATGGTTCTGATATATGGATCTGATATATGTGTTCTGTTCACTACAGTAGTGATTCAATTGAAAGACAAATAAACAAAATGGTTTCAAAATTGTCATACATAGATTTGTGGTTTATAAGGTTGTTTAGTTTAAAAATAAATTCATGATATGGTTTGTATTTATTCATGTATGATTGTAATTAGTTAAAATGAATGAACGAAAATGATATTTGTGACATAATTGTTTAGTATAGAATAAAATACATTCAACAGTTTCAAAGAAACCAAGAAATTGCGCCATCGTCCACCATTGTCTTCAATGAGTTACTATCTCACAACAGACCTGGTTGAACTCCAATGGTCATCACTTCTCACAATTTCGTAGATCGGTTGAAGTTAGACATAAACATTGTTGAATGCGGGCTAAGTGGTCTCGAGGTAAAGCGTTTGCTTTTGAATCTTTTGAGCGTGATCGTGCATGCCCAATACTGAAGAGTCCCACAATAGGACGAAACGGCCGTCCAGTGCTTCTGAGTTTTCAATGGTTGTTTACCACCAATAGGTTAATGATCTCAATCAAAGAATAACGGGATAGCAGACAATCGTGAATATTAGAGCTTCAGTCCCTGGTATAGGAAACCGTTGAATATCAGGAATTGTTATAACATTCGTAGTAACATATTATTCAGTCATTAACAATCAGTTTCAGCCAATAAATAAAAGAATTGCCTTCAAATAAATAGCACATGTTTCCAACAGCTGTTGAATGTCTGAGCATTCTTTCAATCTATCGAAAATTACAATTTTGTTGATTGAGATCATGAACCGATTGATGTTTGACCACCGTTGGGAACCTCGAAGCACTGGACGACTGTATTATCATTTTGTGGGACTCCTCATCGGTGCACACCCACGGTCTCGCCCATGGGATTCGAACTCAGAGCCCCAGTCTCGCGCACGAACGTTTAACCTCTAGACCACTGAGCCGGCATCCAACAGTGTTAATGTCTAACCTCAACCAATCCATGATTACAATTTCGCTGATCATTTATTTTATTCAGTTGTCACTATTTATTATTTTAAGAAGACAAATATTCAGAAGTAATTATGTTCCACTTCATAGAGTATTTGACAAAATTAAAAAAACACAGTAAATAACTAAGTAATTCTACCATGACAGTCATATTTCTTGAACCTGAAATTCACTGAAAATTTATACACTTGAAAGAGTTTTAAATGAATTCATTCAATGTTTCAGATGAAAATTGTCAATAAAATATTCAGGCTACGGTCAACTTTATCTATGAGTAATCTGTTTTATTCAGTTGACAATTAAGTGTTATAAATGCCAATCTGTATAATTTATAATGATAATCAATCAAATGACTACATGATGAAGTCGATAAATACAGTAATAAAGTTGTCAGATGTAAAAAATAATGCATATCTACAACATCTCAAATCTGTACACTAAAAACGCTAGACATTCCAAAGAATTCATCCAACTGACATAAAAGACGACTGTCTCAAATGATTAACTAACGTTATAAGATTTGTTTTGATTTAAATACCGGTTTATTATTGAGTTAGTTTTATCGACATTATTCTTGTTATGAACAATTCACATCCGAAGAATCAGTAGAAGCCAGAACAAATTTGAGGGAAGCTTTTTTCAAATTTGATTGCATTGTTTAAGCCTTCAACGTTTTTATACGATTATTCATGCAGATATCAGAGGATAACAAAAATTGACTCCAGGTTATTGTGACTTTTTTGATACTTTAAATATTACGAAACATCTACTTATGTTATAAACTTAAAAATCATAATCTCTCTAGTCAAGGTAAATATCGTGCTCCTTCAATAGAGATCGTTCGGTATTTAAGGAGTAGATAGAACATTTCCAGAAATGACGAAACAAATCAGCGTCATCATACATATATATATATAAGGGGTAAGATAGTCACCTACATTTCTGTGAAGGTGTTTTAATAAATTTCAAACGATGTAATTAGTGCTCTGCTAAATAACAATTACCTGTACACTAAGTTACATCCGGTTTCGGCTTCAACTAATTCAAAACATATCTATCTATATAAAATGCATTCCATTTAGTCTAGATGTTAGGTAATTGAAAGAAATCAATATAAAGTAAAAAAAAGTCCAGGTTTTCAATCCTTCTATACCAATTATTAAGGCACATATATCAATCTTGAAGGAATAAATAATTCTTTTTGAATTTAAAACCACTGTGGTATGAGCTACTTATATCCACACAAGTAGTATACAATCATGGTCAGTACTAGAATGTATTTCAGTAGAAGATCGAAAAGGAAAGAGCAGAAACGGAAAGCAATCGGTATGAGAATTCTATATTGTACCAAAATATAATATTGAATAAAGCCATTAATAATAATAATAATAATAATGAAAATGCACGAACAATGAAATCTGAGACTATAGACTGATATTTGCAAAAGGAGCAGTGAAGTTTGAGACAAGTGATTGATAGTTTGCAAAATAACTTTTTACTGTATGGTTCCAAGATTTTAGTGAGATGTTCTGTAAGTTATTGTTTAAGTACATTCCATTGTCCCCACTCGTGTTCTTATTCACTACACCACATTCATTTATCGACATTATAAACTCTCTTATTATGGTGTTTCTGCCATAATCCCAACCTTCGCCGAATTGACAAGAATGTTCTGTTATAACTTAATGAATTGTATGTAGTGAATGAATTTGTACGATGAATCTTGGATTTTTGATGACTGCATTACAATCTACTTTAAGATCTAAAAAATACACTTCACAAAGACCAATAAATGTGAACAATATTGATGAATTAAGCAATATGAATGATAAATTATACTTTTTTAAAATGTGATCAACTATTTGGACGTGGTAGTTCGATGGATGCTGTGTTGACATTTGATTCAGAATATAAGCTCTAGATATAACAAATACTTTATATTACTACATTCCAACTACTTTCAAATCATCGTACTTATTGTCAATACTTGTTACTGAACAGAGAAATCTTGAAAGGATAAAGTTGTTTTTTCATGCAATTATAACTAATTATCAATTTCTGAATAAAATCTCATTTGAAATGAGATGCAGATCCAATAAACGATTATTTTAAGTTATGCATCATTAGGAATCATTTAGTATCACGTAACGTTGGTTAGTTATTATACCATAATTCATCGTCATCCATAAAGCCTCACAGAGATTACAGTAGGGATTTGTAGATGTCATGGAAGTTCAGTTTTAGATCATTTGCACTATCAATTGTTAAATAGTGTCGATGTTAACTGACTTCTAGTTAAATTATTATGCGTTATGAAGAATAATTTTAGCGATTGAATGTAATCAAACACTGAATCATAAATATAGTCACAATTCACATATTACAACTCAGTAGTTCCATAGTTAAGTGGATAACGCGATGACGTTTGAAGCGAACGGTAGTCAGTTTGAGTCATAGAGTGAACATCAGCTCTGAGATGCAGGTACATCCAGCTGACGTGTCTCAAAATAGGACGAAACGCGCGTCCTGGATTCCACTGCTAGCCACTATCCACCTGTGCACAATTGTTGCTTAAAATGGAAACTTTTCCATCACCTACACAATTCACCCAGTCAATATTCAATAATTTAATGCAATTCACAGGTTTATCATTGAGTTATACTCTTGAAACGTACTAGCTTTATGAATTTGTGAATATTCATCGTTTGAGGTGGTTGAGATATAAATAATGTATTTCTAACCATCTTTTACTCCAAACCGCAGGAAGCAATCGAACTAAGACGTAACATCAGTCAGTCAGGTTGACAAGTGAAGACTGTCGCGTTTTGGTTAGTGTCCAATGGTTGGAAACGTTGGATGACTTTGATTATAATTGGTCATAGTGGCATAGACCACTTTTTTTCTTAGATCCTAAGTTTTGAAGTTAGTTCGTATATTTTCATCCTCGAATTCATTCCTTCATCTAAAATCATATTTCTTTTAACTAATTTTTACTTACTAACGCTGATACCATAACTACTACTACTTCGATATTGATCTTGTTGTATTTGTGTAGCCCAACAACTTGAACCGATGTACATTTACCCTAGGTTCTATGTTACTTATAATTGATTGAATTAAATACAACGTTTGTTGTAAAGTTTAGCTTAACTTAATGGTACTGAAGTTAGAGATTCACTTTTGTTTTTTGTATGAATTTTTTTTAGAAAATGCTAAATGTCCAGACCCTGCACCATTATTAAATGGAAATGTTGTATTCAATGATACAGATGTCGGAGATATTGTGGAATACACATGTAAACCAGGTTTAACTGTTCGAGGACAGCGTAAACGACATTGTTTAGCAACGTTAAGTTGGAGTGGTGAGGCACCAACATGCAGTAATCAGACTGAAAGTATGATAAACACATTGTTTGTTAGTAAATTCATATTAAGATATTTTGTAGTTTATGCTTTAAAAGGTTAATATTAAAGATAAAATGATCCGGTAAGTGAATTTTCAACCTAAATAAATGCCACGAGTGAAGATTTACTGGTTGAATTCCGCGAGTTTTAATCTTAGTTGGATTCTTCAGACATCAGCAACGGGATAACTCAACATACTTACCAGTGATAACGTGAACATCATACCTTCTTAAAATGTGATTAACTATTTGGACACGGTAGTTCAATGGAGGCTGTGTTGAAATTGGATTCAACACTGGGGTGTCATGACATGAATTTTATGAGTCTTAAATACGATGAAACATCCATTCTGAATTTTCCTGCTAACTTCAACTCATTTTTTAAACTACCTTCAAACAGTGTGACTGAAGTTCAGTCATAGTGTCTGAAACAGTGGGCCAATCAAAGTCACCAAATGAGAAGGCCACGTTGTTCTAATAAAAAATGTCTTAGTAACTGGTGCATGTTGTTGAACATGAAATGCTTTCATTTTCTAAGGAATAGACATACGTATAAGTGAAAATGGCGGTGCAATGTTGTGGATCGATTGAAGTTTAATATTAACATCGGTTTATTGGTCTAGAGTTTAAGCGTTCTCATGCTTGGACGCAAGTCCAGAGACTCGAGTCTTACGTGAAGGATCGTAGATTCTCACTGTTGACGATTTTCATAGTAGAAAAAACTGGCTACTCAGAGTTTTCAAGTTTTCAGTGGAGGTTTAACTTGATTTGATCCATGATTTCGACGGAACTCAACAATCTCCAAAACTTCATACAGTAAATGAATACTTATACATCTGATCTGATTTAGCCCCTTACACTTTCGTTCTTGCTTTCAGTTTTCCTACTCCATAGCCAGTTGCATTGCTACTCGTAGGATGTTTGTGTCTCAGTATCAGACTCGGATACCAAGCGTTATGATAGTGTTAAAGATATATTCATCAATAATTTTCGTTTTGATTTTTCACTCTTGTTAACATTTCTGATTTTTTACTGATTTGATTTCCTACATTTTCTCAAAGTATAATACTTTTGTTTCATCATCAATGATAGTACTATTATTTCAATGACGTTAACATTCTGTTTACTTTTCGACATGAGGTATGATGAGTTAAACAGATGAACATTTGTTCAAAGTCCTACATTATATCCAGATGAGTGACAATATCGATATTTGTTTGTTTGTTTGTTGAGTATATCAGCTTTAATGACTATAATATTCTAAAGTAGTGTGTAAATGAATCAGTTTATTGATAAAGCATATCAAAATTTAGGTTGTCTTATATTCTCTGTGTTCATGATTTAATTATACACCTTTTGTTGTAGCTCTAGACAATATCATCAGAAGTTTGAGAGAAAATGTGTTACTTAAGTGTCTCAATAGTGACAAATCAGTCCGTTCTCATGAACTAGTCAGTGATTGATTGTTTCCCAGGACACTTTAGCTTTACCTGTCTTGATATTTCTGCTAACTGTCTTCTTTATCTGCATAAATGGACGAATAGAGTCTATGTTAGTACATCTACAGATTACAGAATCACTTGAATGTCATGCTTCCAGAAATCGTCTTTTATCCTTTGAATATTCTCATTTCAGCATACCGACTTTTCCTCAATCAAACTAATATTCCTGGTTGTCCTTGTACACTAATATGAGTTACAAAATTTCATGTAGTTTCACTCATACTTTCTATTCAGATATGTATAGATGGTGTGGGTTCCTTTTTGATCCCAGTAAATTTTATCTAGAACAACGACCAAAGCTTCCCAATTAATTGTGAGCTCAAAGGTTGGCTTAGACAACATAACGTAATTTAAAACTTGTAAAATCTTCCATTTACAAACAAGTACATTGTTCTGTTAAATAACATCGTTTGTTCACATTCTGGTGTATAATTTTTCAAAGTTAATGAGAAATATGTAAGTGATCAACAATAGTTAGGATTCATCAAACGTTTTTTTAATTTTGTGGTGGTTCCCAAACAAAAAGAAGCTTACACAAAATATATTGATACACTAGATTAATAGTGATATACCAAAAAAATTAATAGTAAAGAAACCTAGATGTCTGTCCGTTAGTAAAACCAAAGGTAACAAAATACCGTTAGCAATACAAAAGGTATATTAAACAAACAGACGCTAACAGTTACTATAAAATGAATGTTACTTGTGAACTGCCTCGTGAGAACAACGACCACAAACTGAGTTTACTTGATTGACAGGTGTTCCTCTGCAAGTGACTACACCAATGACGTAATGAGGAAGACGGAGTTCAAATAGTATTATACAATAGTAATCCGTGCCAAAAGTCCAACGTTGAGTCGGAAGGCCTATAATGATGTTATAATACTATTATAGTCTTCAATCAAAACGGTGGCCAATAAAACAGAAGAACAAACGGCGTAGATAGTGTTCTATATTTTAAACAACGCGGTAGTAGAAGTGTATATCATTCGTCGAGACAATTATCATCGTCTTTTCTAACAAGTGATACAGCAAAACGACAGAAATTGAATAAAAATGTGGTTACAAATAAAGTGTGACAAATTAGAGAAAAAATGTGGTTTTTATTTTTGTTGTTACAAAAATCACTGAATATATATCACCATAATTTGAAACAGTGACATTGTATGCACAATTGTTGTATAGTCATTATGTAATTAAGAAACTTTTGATGTATTTATTTCGATACTTGTAAATTTATACAAACAATTCGTTTATTTTTAACTTATTTAAGCTTGTTTTAGTCCACCGGCTATCTTAAATACACGAATAATTCAATCAAATCAAAATGTCCCAGAGAAGATTCGTGATGACTTTCGATCAGGTGAAAAAGTGAGAATTGAATGTATTCCTGGATATATGGATTCAGAGAGACAATTTATAGAAGCATTATGTGTTGGAACGGAATGGTACTATTCAGAATTGAAATGTGAGAGTAAGCATAACTAGAGCTAGACCATTTTTCAAATAATTTAATGTTAAGATAGGTTTCACTTAGCTAAACTATCGCCTGGTTAGCGTTTTTTAGCGAGTTAGTTTTCTACGGGATGGGATGGTAACCCCTTGCCCAACCCTCCTCCTTTACCCGAGCTTGAGACCGGCAGTAACTCTAGAAGAGCTACAAGTGGAGCGCTGACGGGCGACCTATGTCCCTCCACAAGGAGTAACAGTCGTAAGTAAGTAAGTAAATTATTGCCTCAAGCAATCATAATTAATTTTATGGTAAATAAAATATTTCGGGTTTGACAAACAAAATAACGAAAAGTATGAAATTTTGACACGTCCTAGATTCATGTTAAAAAATTAGGAAAGAGTTATTTTTGTCAATTTAAACAGCATGCTTCACAATTAACAAAAGACTTGGTAAATGTTTGTTTTCAAAACGATATGAAATTTCACATATTTTAAATGTATTTAAGTTCTTCACACTAAAATTTTTCTTTCAGTAAAGTTGGATTAATGTTATCAGTAAAATCCAGCCTGAAAAATACTGTCTTGGCTTTCAGAACGGCAGACACTGGTTTTTAATCATTCCGAGAACATGAACATTAGGTTACATTTACGCCCTGCTGATGAGTTCCAAATAGAACGAAACACACGTTTTGTATTGTAATTGTAGCTGCAATCTAACATTATTAAAACTTGTGAGGATGCACGTATAACGACAGAAATTAATCATTTTCAGTCCTCAATGTCAACCAAGTTAAAATACAAACCCTTCATATAGGATTTGCCTTAATTAAAATAGAGGTTGTAATGTTAAAGTTTTTGGTATCACTTACGCCCTATCAATTACCATGTGACAAAATTGCTAATCAGAATACCAACAAATATGACTTTTTCACTGTGATAATCCAATGACACGTCAAGCAGCAGTCACAGCCTTGAGTCAACTCTAAATCCTTATTGGTCGCCTGTACTGTTTGTAGCCTCTCGCCTAGCCCAGCCCGTTTAGTCCGGAACATATAAAATATAATATATATAACAGACATACGTAGTTTATATACAAGTAAACCAGACCGCATAGGAGAAGTGGGAATTTGGTCACCCAACATAAGATCAGATCAATGATCTTCAGATTTGCGATGGAAACAATACACTTAAACTATCGTCTTGGAGTCAAGTGACTTATAATATGGTGTTAACAAAATATAATCCAGTCACTCCCTTCTATAATTTTCCTTCAACGGTTGAACATCACAGTTCATCGTCTACTAGTAAAAATTAAGTAAATCCACTTTTTTTAATGAGTATGTGACATCGAAGTCTTCTTGAAGTTGGAAGTTTGAACCTTTGAATCTCGAAACCACCATCTAATTAAATCTTGTGAAACGATAGTTTGTGTCTTATGCTCGTGGAATTACATTCTGAACATTAGTATTTAACTTCGAAATGTTTATTAATTATTAATTTTTCTTGTTACAGGAGTGTCATGTGGTTTTATAAAAGAACCAGCTTACGGATATATTCAATACAAATATGATCAAAGTTTTCAAGCAGAAGCAATTATCTTATGTTCAGAAGGTTATAATGTACATTGCGATACTGGTTTGTTGTCAGTGGAGAATGGCTTAGGTTAGCAATAAAAAATATTTATTATTTCTAATTTTTTTTCTCATAGTTGGTTTTAGTGAGATGTGTGTTATGAAGTTTAAGTCATGGCGAAGTTTTTTATGGATTTGATATTCAAATTATTAGTACAAATCTGGAGGCAGAACTACTGACCTCAGCCGTCCTACCTGTATTAGTTCAATATTAATATCTTTGAATCTGATAATGTGTGAAGTTGGTTTTAATCCCATAAGGAGTATCAGTTGCTATGGTTTACAAACGCAAAATATTCATAAACACCAGGGCCTGTGGTCTAGTGTTAACTGCCTCACATTCGTAACGTAGAAACAATATAACACACTCAGTGTCTAGTTATTTGGATGTTTGGTAACTTGATCAATGGTATTAGTGTCATGGACTTAAGAAGCACGATATTAGTTACCACTCAACGGTCATTTACTATAGACTATGTTATACCGTAAACTATTTACATTTCTTATACAATTAGTAAACATAATCCCTAGATTACACTACAAACCTTGTGTAAATCAAACAATCAGAGGAACAAAGCGAAGGAAGCGAAACGACGTGCAGTGGAGAAGACATGTGAGCTTACTCCATTTAATCAAGCGTTAATCAATATTTATGGCTAGATAAAAATAAGTTACAAACATGTGATGAATATGATAAGAAATGTACACACGTATACGCTCATATAAAAGCAGGCAGGGTTGATAAGTGAACAACTAACAAGGTCAAAACGTGGCTCAAGAAGAGTGGATAAATTGGCCTATCCAGAAGCTAGGATAGGTTATATGGGCTTACTTAGCACTACAAAGATTAAAAATAAACAAACTTGAGTAGAAAAAATTCTGTTAAATTCATTTTGATGGAGTGACACGAAATTACTTATGACACTGAAACTATGGTGTAGACGAAGTAATAGTTATTTACTAATCTACCAATGTGTTGTCTGAATGAAACTGAATATTATGAATAACTAGAAAGTTTGAAAGTCAGTTTGCAATTAAAATCTTGAAGCAAGTAAAATGTTAAAACGACACTACTGATGTGGTGTGAGCTACTTATATCCACACAAGTAGTATATAACGATAGTCAGGAATAGAATGTAATAATGTTCACTCTGGGACTCGAACATCAACTCTGATATGCAAGTACATCCAACTGACGAGTGCCAAATAGGAATAAACGCACATCCTGAATTCCACTGCTAGCCATTACCCATCTTTGCTTATAATGCTTGTGAATGAAGGCTATATCGAGGCAATACTCACAGTATGCACATATGACAATATGAGACTGATCAATTGCAGTCCTAAACATTAATGCGAAGATTCAAGTAAACAATACCAAGTGAATTCTTCTGAACAGACTCTAAAAGATCTTAAATCCATTACTTCATATTACAAATGATACACTTTTTCATATCCATCATGACACACAAAAACAAAAACACTATGATTTAGCATACAGAATCACCTTAACCAAAAATAATATGACATTGATAATTGCAGACTTAAGATTCTGCTTTATTTGCTTCATACTGTCGTGATTTGTTTCGGTGAGTTGTTTTTACTTTAAAAGAGTGACTTATACTGAGTAAAGAAACGTCAGTCATACAAATTTCTGCGCAGTGGTATATATATATATATATATATGACCGTTTGTAGTTTGATGAACAACGCTATATAGCACCTAAAGTTCTTTTTTTGTGAACACTCGTTCATACGTCAATGTCAACATATTAATATTCAGCAGGTTGAGGACTTTATACAACTATCTATTTAAGTCAACGTATACAATGAAAGCGCTTATCACTCAGTACATCAGTTTAATATAACTTGATATTTTACTTTGAATGGAAAAAAGAAACCATTACTAAATTCACCTGAATAAATAAATATTTCACGTTTTTTTCATTCACACCACTCAGTTATGCCGAGAAACACTAATTTTTTCAATCTAAAATAGACTAATCATTTTAAAAATAAACTTTACTCATGAATGATATCATCAGTCTTTGAAGTTCCTGCAGAATAAAAACAAAAATTGCTACATAGAACCCAATATGTGTCAGGTAGTTGAACGTACTAACATACTGACTTACTTACCTACGCTTGTTACTCCCAATAGAGTATAGGCCATCGACCAGTATTCTTCAATCCACTCTGTCCTAGGCCTTCTTCTCTAGTTCTATCCAATTCTTGTTCATTCTTCTCATTTCTGTCTCCATTTCTCGGTGTAATGTGTTCTTTGATCGTCCTCTTGTCCTTTGGTATTAAGGATTCTAAGTGAGGACTTGCCTTGTGACGCAGTTCGTTTGGACTTAATGAGGGGCGAACTCCGAAAATAGTTTTCATTCTAGTTGGCATTTCTTATGAAGGAGTATTAGAATCTTGATGCAAATGATATTTCTAATAGGATTTGAACTTGTAATATCAAGCTGACTGGACTAGTTAGTAGTCACATTTCGATCCAATCAATAAAAGTTAATTAACACTAATGCAATAAATAAGCAAGACATTAATCAGTACTTAGTAATCATGTAATTTAAACAGTCTGGTTAATTTAACGATGTGTCACAGTTTAAACATGTTACAAAGTTTTGTATTCATAATTTATTATACCGAAAATGTATAAATTATGAATTTGATACTCTTAGGTTGTAAACGTATTTGCTTAGAAAATGGATCGTGGTCAGGAGAAGAGGTAATGTGTAAAGGTAAGTTGAAGATTATCCCATTACGAATATATGAATTCATTAATATTTCACAAAACATAGTTTCATGAATAGATCTTAATAACATATTATGTAATATAAACAAGATTACATCCATGTTCAGTAATTTAATAATGAAACTTTATAAATCAGCATTATATATCAGTGAATTCTTAAGATTTCAAACAGTATTTACTATCACTATGTGCAAAGATGGATATTGACTAGCAGTGGAATCCAGAACGCTCGCTCTGTCCCACTCGGGACTCGTCAGCTCGATGTACCTTCATCTCAGAGTTGATGCTCACTCTGGGACTCAAACTCAGTACTGTTCGCTTCAAACGTCATCGCGTTATCCACTTAGCTACTGATTCTTGAATTTAGTACTTACTTTAATTTCAAATGATTCCACAATAATTTCATGGTACAAATTTGCATAAATCATCTAATGAAAACAAGTCTTCCTAATATTACGGATTTTATTTTGTTTTTTCAAAACTATTTGTTATATAGAATCAAGCACATACAATATACAAAGGTAATTAAACTTAATATGGAATATGAACGCTTAACGTACATTCGTCTTCATGTGAGTGTAGTAGACAATTGGGAAATTGAACCGAAATATTTTATCAATACAATGTGGTTTGAAATTCACCATTATAGTAGACTTACACTGAACAAAGCACTATGATATATTACGAACACTAGTTCATTATATTCTTTATAAGATTTTAACTAAACGTAAACCAGTAATTGTGCTTACAGATATATACCCTCTATGCCTAATAGTCTTATACTACAAACTAGTACGTGAAATCATTTTTACTGGAACAAAAATACAAACGTCACTGTTTTGCGAAGGTGATAAACAGATAGATAGGTATTCAAGCAATTATAAACAACGAACAACTTAACATAAGAATGAAGTGAAGGAACGAACAAGTTGAAGGATGTCCTTTAAAGTCTTAAACTGTAAATGACGATAATAATGTAGACCTGAACTTTTCACTTCTTATTGACCTCGTCGGGTTGTTGCTGATAGGAATAAACTGATTTTATTTCTTACGTTTCACACTTATGATGATCTTCAGTGAACATCCGAATAAGTTGTGGTATATGTAATACATGTAACACTTCTTAATAGTCACAATATATTACACTGTATAGAGATTAGCATCAGAATTGATTGATTTATTGTTTAGTTTCAATATTTATGCTTATTGTTTTCATTAAAATAGCCATTACCTGTACAGAACCACAAGCAATTTTAAATGGTAATAGTGTGATTAGTTCACTTAAAGTGAATGGAACACATATATCTAAATGTGATGAAGGTTATGAACTTCATGGATCACAGCAAAGAATTTGTCAAACAAACGGAAAATGGAGTGGATCAGAACCTTATTGTAAAAGTATGTTATAGTTATTCGGATTATCATTTTCTTTAATGTATTTTTCTTATGACAATTTTGATTGGTGTAGTAAATGTTTGACTTCATTCTCTAATTTTATGAATTACGAACCAAATTCATAATATTTTAAGCAAATATGAATAGTGGCTAGCAGTGGGATACAGTTTGACGCGCGTTTCGTCCTACTTGCGACTCGTCAGCCGGATGAACCTGTATTTCAGAGTTGATGTTCACTCTGGAACTCGAACTCAATACAGTTCACTTCAAACGCCATTGCGTTATCCACTTAGCCACTATCCATCTTTGCTTATAGTGCTTGTGAATGAAGGCGATATCAAGCCAATACTCACAGTATGCACATATGACAATATGAGACTGATCAATTGCAGTCCTAAACATTAATGCGAAGATTCAAGTAAACAATACCAAGTGAATTCAACTTCATAACAGTTAATAAAAGACTAAGTGATAAAATGCTCAATAGAAAAAATGTGTGATGAGTGCAAATGAAATAATAATTGATATCTGTTAAGTTAAATTTCACTTTTTTGGTAACATTGTTTCATTAACAGTATTAAGTGGAACTAGTATACTTATTTACTTACACCTCTTACTGCTTGTGGAAGAGCACAGGCCGCCCACCAGCACTCTCCATCCAACCTTGACCTGGGCAATCCTTTCCAGTTGTTTCAACTTTCTAATCATTCTTTTTCACATCTGCTTCCATTTCACGATGTAGTCTATTCTTCAACCTTCATTTTTTCCGCTTTCCTTCAGGATTCCAAGTTAAGGAACTAGTATACTAGTTGCTTGAATTTATCATTGTTAATGAATAATCTGTTCATTTAATACTGATAATGTCTAAGCTGAAACAGTGATCTTCGGTGATTTATATCTAAGTAGTAAGGGAGTATAAAATAGCCAGGAAGACTAATTTTTTTTAAAAATAAAAAAAATATTTTATTAATTGTATCCACAATTCAGATTGAAATTCATGGAGCATTTGCAAAACAAAATGTTGCCAAATGAAAGTTTGATTGTAAATTGTTGCCAACTGAGAGTAATTCATTGAATTTGTATAATAAAGCACTAAATAGTAAAAATATAATTTGTAGTGCCTACATCAGTTTATGACAAAGAAAATCTCTAGTCCTTTTCAATAAACAAAAAATGTTATTCAAACAATCCTTTGAAAATTCTTTTATCCACAACTACATTCGATAATTAAGTATGAAATCTTTAGCGTTTACAGTAGAACCATCTTGCTCAATTATAAACAAAATTTTTATGAAACCATGATGGCAATAGGCAGTCTAAAATCACAAATCAATACTCAATATTAAAAAAACTATTGCTTTAATATATTCACCATTACACAAAAAGGGGGTTACTTTGAATCTAAGCATCAGTTGTCAAGAGTTTCGATAGAACAATGAGAAGACGGAGTTGATCTGAAAAATGTGATGTATTAGCGCTATACATTTCGAACAATCTGGTCACACATATTCTTGTCAAGGCATTTTTAAATGAAAATTAATAAAGGTCAAACAAATAAAAGTTCAAGTAAAATAACTAAGGGGGGAGAAAGAATAAGAAATTGTCGCGTTATCCTAGGCCATAGAATGACTTAAGGATTATCAAGGTAAATCCAAGGTTACGACAAATTGTTTTTGTACACATAAGGGGGGGGGTGAATTTACAAATAGCCAAGTCTTCAATAAACTTAAGAATTCGTCCTTGACAATTTCTATACAACGTTCTAAATGCTGTATTAATGTCAATTTTGTGTCCCGTCTCAATTATATGTTTCGCTATCGATGAACTTGGTTTTCTACCTCCTACATTAATCGGATCACTTGACACACATTGATTTTGTAGCCATCTAGGCACATGTTCATTGACCCTTGATTGAATTGTTCGATTACTCCTCCCTATGTATGTGTGTTCAAACAAACATGTAAATTGGTAAATACAATGGGATGTGACGTAATCATTAGTGCATTGTTTGTGTCTATTAGGAATCATGACCTTAGACTTTTCAATCAATTAAGAGTTTATCACATATTTATTGATGGTAGTTTTTCCACATTTGAAGAATGAATAGTATAAAACTATGTATAAACTGCTTGTTTATGATGCAATGTTTGATTTGACAACATAAATGATCTGGAGTGAATCTACATATCAAATAATATTGAGATGAATTACCAAAGTTTCAATGAAAAACTGTTACCGATAGAGCAAATCTAACCAAGTACAAGGAGACAAGTTTTACTGACGGCAATAAATGATCATCAGCTAATATTACAAATTCACTGACAATAGAAATGTGAACTATTGGAAAATGACTCAGTGGCTTTATGCTGAAGTCCTTGCCTCGAAATCACAAGATTTCGGCTTAGATCTCTTGTAAAGTGATAAGCGTGAAACAATGAAGAGTTCGATACTAAAATAGACTAGTTATTTAGCACTCTGTATTCTTCTATGGTTTCTGAATAATATCATTTCCTGAGATTGTGTTATACTCGAAATTCAAAGTCTTCAGAAATCTATTCTAATAAAAATGATGTACATACTAACTTTAAAGTTTTTCTGGAAAGTCTCAATCGACAATATTCACCGATGAATATTCTTATGTCTTCTTCGTACAAAAAATGTCAAAATTGCTGGGGTTTATGTTTGTTTTCTTATACATTTTATGGTTTTGTAGAAAAAGATTGTGGACCACCACCTCAAATTCAAAACGGTGAACTATCATTTATAACCACAACGTATGGAAGTAAAGGAAAAGTAATGTAAGTTCAAAATACTCATTCTTTTAAAGACAATTATGAAAGCACAATGTAAATCAATAATTTGTCCGTAGAAAAGATGAAACTTGCCAATTTCATCATGATATATTGTGTTTAAAACAAACCGAGTAGCTAAATAACAAACACAAATGAATGATCACGTTTTTTCTAACTGATTTATATGAGAGTTAAGGTTCATCGTTCCTAATTTCTCCAGCGACAGATAATCAGAAATATTATGTCGTTTTCAAGATATTGTTTGATATTTAGTCCACCAGAGGTAATGTGAGTTTCATGATCAGTAGATTTTTTGAAGATATTACATTTCTTTTCTGTGGAAGGTTAAACATGAACCATTACGGATGTAGGATTTGAATCTCCACAACCCCATACTGGTAATAACTATGTGCTCATTAGTGACTAGCGTCGTGAAGGAATTCTCGGAGTTCCAGTGAGAAGCCGTGACCAGTGTAGTTCATCGGTGTCGGGTAGAGACAGGCATCTGTCTCAGTACAATGTAAGATGGTCGCACAATTTCGTGGATTGGTTGAAGTTAGACATTAATACCGTTGGACGCCGACTCAGTTGTCTAGAGTTTAAGCGTTTGCGAGCGAGACTGCATATAAGAAAAAAGAAGTACAACAATGAACATAAATTAGTGTATGACAGTGAAATAACAATAATGAGATGGCCAGTTCAATTAGCAAAAGTACGGCCATAGGTAATTTTTCCACTGGATGTCAGCAATCCTTTCGAGACAAGGATAATCAAACACAGAAAGTCGTCTAACATCCTCAACTCAGAGAGGCCAGGTTTCACAAGCATAGAGCAGAAATGCTCTCACAGACTCATTGTAGGTCCGACCCCTTACAGACAGACTGACATCAGGAAGGCGCCAAAGATGGTCCAGATTGGCATAAGCCTCTCTGGCTTTCACTGTACGTGAATTGATCTCATCACCCACGCCACCACCAGCACTTATGCAGCTACCCAGATACGCAAACTTCTCGACTACTTATATGTGCTCACTACCTAGGATGAGTGCAGGATCAGGGTCCTGCCAATCTTGTCTAATTAACGACAATGTCACCAGGGTTGAATTAAAACCGAGGTAATACGTTTTTTAATCGTCATGCTACTGACGTTGTGTTTATTTCTATTCATTAACTAACAATTCTTGTGTTTACTGAAAATACTATCTGCACCACATAATTTTTATTAGTTTTTACCAAAATACCCTTTACCAAAAATCATTTTGTTTTTTTGCTTCCTAACTAACAACTGTTTAACGACGTCAAACGTAAACGTCTTCTAACTCACGCTGTGACAATAAATAAATAAAACGACATACTTTAGTAATAAAGCATCCGACAGATGTCACTAGTTAATTAACACTTCAGTTTATTTTTACGAAAACACTTAGTGTAAACGGATAAACAAGTTAAAAAATAAACCTATTATTATTTTGAAACAGGTTACTATGCAACGACGTTTTTATTATCCCATAAGATAAATATTGTGAACCATTTCAAGCATACTTTTGACCATTGTGATTAAAGACATAGTTTTAAAGTAAATAAGCAGTACACTGAATAGTCATTAAAATCTTAATATTTTATAGTCATGTAGTCATATAAAATTCGATATTTGGAAGCTCAATCAGTAGTTAGAATTTAATGATTAAAGTAAGTATATTAAGAATCCTTGTGACTGACATTTCGATAACCATTTCAGTTCACATTACTTACTGTCTTAGTCAGAGATGTAGACTAATGCCAAGCGATTAATTCTTAAAATCACCTCAGTAATTTCAATGATCAGTTTCAGTCTTAAACGTTCACAAGCATCTATTCTGATCGTATTTATTGTCACTGTCGTTCGGTGAAGATCAACAATCCAGTAATTATTAAATAAGTAGACGTACGGATGTTTAGTTTTCCATTAGTTATTCAAGGTCGGCGAATCATTGAAAGTTTCCATAAATACAACCACAAAATTAACCATCCCGTCCGTCTAAGCTCATTAAGTAATTATGGTTTAATGAAATGTATTGTCGTGTAGTCAACCATTGGAAATCGAAATTAAATTTTACGCTGTATATCATTCAGTGTTGTTAAATAATCCGAACGTACTCGTTATCAACGGGGGCATAAAATTTTATGCATTGTACAGTAACGTATATTACTTACTTACGCCTGTTACTCCCAATGAAGCAAAGGCCACCGACCAGCATTCTTCAATCCACTCTATCCTGAGCCTTCATTTCTTGTTCTATCCAATTGTTCTTCATATCATGTCCGTCTCCATTTCTCTGTGTAATATGATCTTCGATCGTCCTCTTCTACTTTGGCGTTAAGGATTCCAACTGAGGACTCGCCTTGTGACACAGTTCAGTGCTTTCCTCAACGTGTATCCTATCCACTTCCAGCACTTCATCCTCCTCTGTGATGTGGTTTGTTCTCTCCCACAGTAGGTTGTTGCTGATAGTGTCTGGCCAACGGATCCGAAGTATTTTGCGTAGACAACTGTTAATAAACACCTGTATCTTCTGCATGATGGCTTTCGTAATTCCCAAGTTTCCGCCCTATACATTAAAACTGTCTTGACATTTCTATTGAAAATTCTGACCTTGGTGTTGGTTGACAGTTGCCTTGAGTTACAGATGTTCTTCAGTTGTAAATATACTGGCCTTGCTTCATTGATTCGCGCCTTCACATTTGCATGGCATCCATCGTGTTCATCATTGATGCTGCCCAAATACGTAAAGGTTTTTACATCTTCCAAATCTTCTCCATCAAGTGTGATTTGATTGAAGCATGCTGTGTTGTATCGGAGAATCTTGCTTTTCCCTTTGTGTATGTTGAGACTTAGTGCTACTGAGGTTACTGCTATACTGGTGGTCTTCTCCTGCATTTGTTGTTGCGTGTGCGATGAAAGAGCTAGATCATCTGCAAAGTTTAGATCGTCCAGCTGCATCCTTGTTGTTCATTGTATCCCATGCTTCCCTCAGATATTGACGTCTTTATGATCCAGTTGACCACCAGGAGAACTCCTCGTGGAGCCCTCCTGGGGCTAATGCCGGTCCCAAGCCCGGATAAAGGAGGAGGATTGTTTATGGGTTTAGCGAAAAAAACCAACTCGCTAAAAAACGCAAACCAGAAAAAATAATTCGAACAATTAAACAGTAAGGTATATACATTTAGAATAATACGACCCGAAATTACTTTGCATTATGAATAGAAAAAATCTGATTTATAACCTTGAAGATAGTTTATATTATTCGGCCAAATAAATATTGCATGACGATCATCCACTGAGTATGGTGATGCTTGTGTTACTTTATAAATAGTTGAACTCCACTTGTCAAGGCTTCTCACTAGACGTCAGTTATTATAGATCATATGATTGAGTAGTGATAATATTTTCCGGCTTTGTTGTTTTAGTGACAGATTAACAATTTCAGCTATGATGTTTTTTCCATGAATACCTCAAAGCTGCATAGGAAGAACAGTTAAGGTAATATAAAGATGCTTCAAAATATACAGTTTTGAAATTTTACTAAGAATAATAATCATTGGTTGATTTCTAACTTTAAACTAGATGTGAAGCAGATACAACGTTATCAGCTGAAAGTGATGAAGTTATTTGTAGTGTAAATGACACCAAGGCTATATGGAAACCGCAACCATTTCCACAGTGTTATAGACATTGCTATCTATTTACTGTAGAACATGGAGATGTCTACTTAATAAATAGTAAAAATTATGGTGATAAACAGATCATACCAATCACTACTGAAGAATTTGGCATAGAAGGGAATACACAAATACACTTGACAAATGCTATCTCTAATCAAATTATTTTACCTGGTGGACGAGTTAGACATGGATCAGAATTGAATGTAACATGTCACATAGGTTATGCATTGATTAAACCAAATCACCCAATTACTATTTGTCAAAATGGAGTTTGGAGTGTTCGAAGTAAATGTACTCCTGGTATGTAAAGACAATTTTAACCTACTTTTTTTGTGTCATGTGAACAGAATTAAATACAAGTATTGCATGCGTATTTCAAAATACGTTTACTAATTAGACAGTATGTTTTATAAAATCGTTCACTGTTAACTACTGACATTAATCTCTTATTAATTGAAATACATCAATATACCCTATAATCTTTCTTTCATTTACATAAATCAACGATTTTTATTCAAAAGATAATGGGTGAGACTATAATTTATGGATGCCCTTGGACGACGCTGAAGTGACTTTGAGAGTGGACATCTACTGAGTAGGACTAAATGAGCGTTATAAAGCAGTTAGAATTCTCAATTACAGTTGATAGTTAAGGTTAGGAGTTAGATTTAGGGTTTTCATCACGAACTGACATCAGCTATGATGCCAAAACATTATTTAGCCAAATAGATGAATAAATTTCGCGCCGAAATCTGGGACCTGTTATCGTAAATCTAATTGATTCGTTCATTAATTATACTCTCGCCAGATAATGTTTTCTACTTACAGTGAAAAAAAAAACATAAAAAAGGTTGTAACAAAACTGTACCACATATAAACTGTTTTCATAAATAAATCTTTGCTGCTTTCTGAAAATGGTTACATCAATTCAGTTCTTTAATAATACACAGAGTTCAACTAAGACTGGTCAATACTTCAGTCCAGAATGTTAACAATAAGATGATACAAATTATTCCGAATAGCGATATAACTTTGAGTTTTCTTAACTGTAACCTTTATTGACTTAGTTTGGATCATGTATATAGGTATTATAGTTTAAACAATATTTATGTTCATTTACTATCTTTTATCAAAGCTCCGTGCAGAAGACAACCACCAAGTTATCCTGGTGCCAGGGTGAGATTTTATAGTCTGAAACACAACTCCTTAGCAAGATATGAACCATTTCCTGGCTACGTGATGACTGATAGTCCTAAGAATCTGCATCAAATAGACAAAGTGAATACATATGAAGATCCTAAAGGAACTTTACGTTGCTTATATGGTGAATGGGTTGGAGCTCCCTTGAAATTTGAACCAAGTTAGTCAAATCGCCTTATGTATTATTTACTTTTAAAATATTTCTTCATTAATTATACAGTAAGCAAAAAAGGCAAAAATCGGAACAGACTATACATATGTAACTAACACTTCAAAGTTACATATTAATTTCAAATAAACGAGCACTAATGGCTTATTTTAGTAATATATATCAACCACTAATTAGAGTTGACCTAATCGGAATTAATGTTGAAAATTATTCAAAGCAATTTAAAGACACTGAAATAATACATGATGTAATATGTATATAAATATGGTAGATAAATAAATAAATATAACTATGAACAATTATCGAAGTGAAAGTTAATGATAACTTGTTGTGTAATCATCAATATGGGGTTGTGGAGATTATCAGGTTCTCGATTGAGATCATGAACCGATTGATGTTAAACCACCATTGAGAACCTGGAAGCACTGGACGGCCGTTTCGTCCTTTTGTTGGACTCCTCAGCAGTGCGCATTCACGGTCCCGCTCATGGCATTCGAACCCAGGGCCTTCAGTCTCGCGCGCGAACGCTTAAACTCTAGACAACTGAGTCGGCGTCCAACGGTGTTAATGTCTAACTTCAACCAATCCACGAAATTGTGCGACCATCTTACATTGTACTGAGACAGATGCCTGTCTCTACTCGACACGAATGAGCTCCAATGGTCACGGCTTCTCACTGGAACTCCGAGAATTCCTTCACGACACTAGTCACTAGTGAGCACATAGTAATTATCAGTATAGGGTTGTGGAGATTATTAAATTCTCGATTGAGATCATGAGCCGAGCGGGGTCATGGATGCGCATTGCTGAGGCGTCTTACAGTAGTACGAAACGGCCGTCCAGTGCTCCCAGATTTTCAACGGTGGTTTAACATCAATCGGTTCATGATCTCAATGAAAAAATAAAGGAGTATATTTTATCCTTATGTGAGTTATTATGCAGATGAAGAATAAATTTATTCCAGCTATTTTATGTCACATATCGATACGATTATATCTCACTTGTTTACGATTTATATCCAAGTTATGATTTGTTAGAAATCTGTAGACTCATATACCCATTGATTTCGAAACTATTATATTGAATACCAACATAGGCACGCTTACAGTTTGACAGATTGATTATTTCATTCATAGATTACTACATCTGGGTGAAAATTAACTCGTCAACACTAAAACTTAAGCACAATATACCATTTATCTTCTCCCCTATTTACTACTTGTATTCTTTTGTCTCACTTTAATAAACTTTCAAAATGTAATTTAATAGTTGGGTTCGTGGTTCAATTAAAGCTAAAACCCCATGGGAAACCTGGAAGCACTGGACGGCTGTTGCGTTCTTTTTTGGGACTGGTCACGACTTCTAACTAGAGCTCTGAGAATTCCGTCACGAAGCTAGTCACTACTGAGCACATGTTAATTATCATATGTAATCATTGAAAAATTGGTAAAAATTAATTGTTTTTGTACTTATTTAAGCCGTAAGTAATTTTCATTTTCCATTTCTAGTGCATTGTCCGCTTATAGACATAATTGCACCATTAAAAGCAAATGTTTCAATTGATGGAATGTTATTTGATTTTCATGGATCAAAAATAATCCTAAAACAAGAAACAATTATAATATTCTCATGTCCTAAAGAATATTATCTAGATGGTCCTAAATACATAGTATGTCACCTGGGTCATTGGTTACCGAAACCAAGCTCGTCATGCAAAAAGATCCCCCCGATGTCAAGTATACAACAATGGCTGTTCAATTCAGGATAACAATTATGGATATTTGAATAAAATTCTTATGTATTTACATTGAATTTTATTGTTTTATTTATATTTACCTCAAAAAATAGTATGTGATTATCTTCATTGAATAATGTTTTCATGAAATTATAAGAGAAAATCATACTACTAAAGGTTCCTAACAAACTAAACAATACAGGAAACCGTAAAATTGAAGAATAGAAACGAACTAATCCGATTAAAAGATCTAGTTCTCAAAGATCACGTGAACATTTTGAGTAATAATTTACAAAGCCGGTCAATCCAGTTCAATTCTAAAGTCGCATAATTATGTGCTTTTCTCATGCATTTCATAAATATTCATTCACAAATATACTGGATAAAGCTAGTGAAAGCTTTTCAATAATTAATCAAAAATCTTGAAAATTATGATCCATAATATAAACCAACTTTCTAAGCAAAAGTGGATAGTGGCTAGCAGTGGAATCCAGGACGCGCTTCGTCCTATTTGAGACTCGCCAGCTGGATGTACCTGCATCTCAGATGGCTATCAGGACTCAGTAACTAAGTGGATAATGCGATGACGTTTGAAGCTAACGGCACTGACTTCGAGTCCCAGAGTGAGCGAAAACCGAGATGAGGGTACATTCAACTGACGAGTCCCAAATAGGACGAAACGCGCGTCCTGGATTCCGTTGCTAGCCAATATCCATCTTGAAAATTTAGATCCATAATATGAACCAACTTTGTTTATTATTATTCATGTTTATTTCAAATAGTTCACATCTACGTTTGTAGACATTGGGTGAAACAACTAAAAACTCGTTTATTTTATTTATCTTCTCTTAATTGAAATTAATACTATTACTTCATGTTTTAAATACATAACTTTCATTTGTTCATTATGAAAGATATCATTGAATGCCTTCTATCACTGACATAAACATTTTAACTCCTGAATATATCTCATGTGATTAAATTTCTATCATTTTACCATTCTGAAATTAATATCCAAAATGAATAATTCAGACAATTCCTAATCATGAGTCAATTAAAGCTAGACTACCATGGAAAACCTGGAAGCACTGGACGGCTGTCTCGTCCTAGTGTGGGACTCTTCAGCAGTGCGTACCCACGATTCCGCCCCGTGAGATTCGAACTCACCCAGTGCTACCAGGTTTTCTATGGTGGTCTAGCTTCAATTGACTCATGAATTAAACTATAAAATTACTAAAATCTCCACAAAACCCCTTCCGATAATTTCTAATCAGCTAATCTATTGTGTTTACATACATCAATGTAAACTAAATTACTTATCAGTACATATAAATCACCAGTTAACGGGTAGGTAGGTAGGTAGTTAATGGCAAAAATGTCAAGCTGTCGAGATATACTGTAATTATGATAAAAAAACTATCCAGTGAAAGTACAAAATGTTGTTTTTGTAACAACTAACTTTATAATAAATACACTAAAACATGTATACATATTCCATTATGATAATTTCAAGAGACTGTTAGAGTGAAATTGAAAAATCTTTACTCATTTTTGGCTGATCTAACAATGAGTTTTATAAAGAAATGAGGTGAGAATGTCGGAATGTATTGCACATAAAAAGAACATATTTCATATTTATTATAGTATTATGTCTTAATAAACCTAATCCACTTGAATTTCTCCATGCAATCTCTGAAGTTTGGAATGTTGACAATTAAATTTCAACGTTGTAGTGTATCTATATTGGAACCTGAAGGGTATAGGCTATCTTCTGTGGGGATTGTCAAAAAATTAATCAATAAAATACTACATAACATCAAAGAATGCATGGTTCTTCATTACAACATCAGTTCCTATTCCAAAACCCCTTACTCTATGTTCATTTTCCTCAATATATATGCGATTACTTTTAATTTAGTTCATACAAAATAAGTCGAAATTTAGTTTTTACATGATCCTCGTTAAAAGGACACGTTTAAAACAAATAAATAAAGGAATATGATTCTTTAAATTACTTATTTATTTAAACACATAAACATTGGTACAAGAAGGCACCAAATAGATATGCGCTACTTGTGTGAGAACTGGGATACTGTCCGAGAGCCCAGACCGAAGCAGGTGGGTTTCCTAGAGGGCCACACCCCGAGCCCTTGACCTAAAGGTCTAATCAGCAAGGCAGTGAAGCAATGTCAGGAGATGCAGTCCTATGGTAGCCGGTGACCGACGATTGGTTCATACGGCATTTGTTCCTTCAGGATAATGGAGCCCATGTGCACCAGTGGTTTGGAATCAGGGTATTCAAAATCCCCTAGATGGATCGTCTGTGACACCAACCCGGTCAAAGCGCCAGATATTCGCTTTTTGTCCTCTCAATTTCGTAAACGTCAGCCTTAAAGTGAGAAGGCAGTGAGTAGGACATCACTTGAAGTGGTTGTATGCATATGGCCACTTGAGAGCATTTCGATAGAAAGAGCTGACTCTCCACACTCTCGGCCGTACCAGGGCATTTGACAAAACTCTATTATGAACAAATATATAGTTTGCTTGCATGATATTTTATAAGAACTTTTATCCGACTTTGATGAACAAATCGCTTCTCTATTGTTGACCAAAAAATCTTTACAAGACATTATCCAGGAAACTATATTTGTTAACATCTTAACGATAGACATTTGAAATAACCACAGCTGTAGTGGTCGGTATCTTCGTAAGCAGTTCGCCCTGATAACCGTTACTAGATAATGTCCCGAACGATGTGTAAATCAAAAGACGATTACGAAGTGTTGATCACGTTTATTATTGCACTACGTACAGATCACTGAAATCACAGATACGAGAAACAAGAATGAAGGGCTAATGCCGAAAAGCAATCAAGCTAGTAAGCGTGCGAGTCGAATGAACGGGATTAAAATGTACATGTATTTGCAAAGGGAAATAAGTGATCACCGAATCAACAAAGTGACATCAAAGCTAGCAGAGTGAATATATGGGTAGGCAGTAAGCAATGCTCAAGCGTACTATTCACACATGTGCAGCAATAGTAAAGGTACAATAGTATAGATAGCTTGTTATTGTGCGAATGACTTTGTCAGTTAATTAAGTTAGCAAAAAGGCCTGACGAAATTAAATGTGAACAAATTGTACATGAGCTACCATACAGCAATCAGAACAACAATTTGATTCAAGTTCCTTAAGGGGGGGAAATAGGAATTATCTAGTGTCATGTAAGCTTGCTTTGAATCATCAGAAAGAAAGGTTTAATCACATTAAAAAATTATGATTATTTGACAGGCAAAGTGAAAATTCTTGAACTTAACATGTTCTTACTATTGTTTAATAAGGAAATTCTGTGAGAATATAATTTATGGACAACCTTTGAGCGACGCTAAAGTCACCTTGAGAATACCCACCTACTAACTAGGACCAAATAAGGTTTATAAACCAGGGCGAGGAACTAGAATTCTGATTTATAGTTGGTGGTTAAGATTAGGAATTAGATTTAGGGTATTCATCACGAACTGACATCAGCTATAATACCGAAACGCTATTTAGCCAAATGTATGGAAGAATTTCGGGCCGAAATTCGTGACTCGTTATTTTATATCTGATTGGTTCGTCCATAAATTATAGTCTCGCCAGAAATTCATCACATGATCTGATGAGCCGCAGTAGAGTAAGTAGCGTCGATTAGCGAGGAGTGGATTCGAATTTAAATACGTAGAGTTCCCGTTCGTAGGATAATAATAGCCAAGTCGTGAAATAATAACTGCATCGATGGGTGATATGTGTTGCTGTACTGCTATTGATAATAATCATAAAATGTGAAGTCAGTGTCAGTGGTCGTCCATAAATTATAGTCTCACAGAATAGAATAGTAATTGCAGTACTCGAATAACGTTTTTGGGTGACAAATGATGCGGCATGTAGTTATACATATGAACGAATACATGAGATGAACGTAATCGTTACCAATCAGCTGGTAGATTTAGAGGCGTGCGGAGACATGGCATAATAACATAAAAAATTACTTCGACTATGTGAATTAGTGTAATAATAGGCCGAAAATGAAATGAAAAAAGTGGATTGAACTCACTTAAATCAGGAAAATTTTACGTTTCTGAATAATAAAAATAGTTCAGTGAGTTTCGAATGTCATAAAGTGGTGTTCAGAAAATTATAATTTGTCCGGTGAGTGATATGATTGAGTAAATGTCATAATCTAATGTCAGCAGGAACAAAATTAATAATACCAAAATGAATAAATCAATCGAACGTTAACTTTTCTTCTTATCATATCACTAACCCTAACCACAACCCTAACCTTAACTCGTTCATTTAGTGATATTTGGAAATAACACGTCGTATTACTTGAGATTAATATGTATTTGTGTCAACTCTTTTAAACTGAAGTGATGATGTCTGTTCTCAAACATTATCGGGACAAATTAGGACATCTTAATATGCTCTTAAAAGACCGGTTTGTGAAAGAGGACTACTTTGGGTAAATCGTTGAAAACATCTTGTATATCAGGTGAAGGGCATTTTTCTGGTGTTGCGCAAGCGTCAAGTATTTTATGGCAATCAAAAGTTCGAAAATAGGAGATGTTTCTTTGGAACCATATGCAATACTGAGGCACAAGAGCTAATAAACGATTAAGTAATGTCGAAATTCAGCAACTTTTCCACCACAAAATACATGGACGTAAGATACTCACGACAGAAACTTCATAGGCCAACAAAGGTAGCTGCTTGTGCTCTTACTCAAGTAGTCAGTTGATGGGGAGCACGTAGCACACCATGTATCAGTACCAAATTCCGGAAACTGCACGTCACAACAGTTTCCGGTGAACGATTTTCGTCAAACCCACATGAAAATAAATACAATTCCACAATGTCGACTTCAGTAGATCAGCTAAAATCTATTTTGCAACAAAAAGATTTTTAAACATCACAATTGTAAGTGATCGAAATGGTGGCACAAAAGTTGTCCATGCGAGAAAATTCAGCACAGATGTCCAAATTAAGGGCTGAACTACCGAATCACTGATCAACTCTACGAACGGATTTCATTTTGATCCCGTTGCTGGTGTTACATTTGAATCATGGTTCAAGTGAAGGTGAAAGTTCTGTTT